CTATCAACTAACAGGATTCAAGGTTAATACAATTATTTCAATACTCACCATTTGTGAACAACTTCACGTGGTCACAAATAAATTGTTAACACATATTAAATACACAAATCCATTTACTCAACCTAATATTTTTAATTATTATTTATCGTCATGACTGGTCAGAATAAAATAATATAATGTTGCTGTCAAATTACTCAAATTTGAAATTCAATAAAACAATGTTTAATGTTATTGGTTTTAGCACGTTCAGCTAATGTTATATAGGTTAGGTTCACCGCACAAGGGAATCGAAAATATATTATACAGTGTTTACATTTACACAATTTTAAAGTTAGTTCACACGAATCTGAAACTCATCGGACGTGCCCCATTGATTCATATCGAAACTCGTATTTAGGCGAATCACTGACACTATATTATCTATTGCATCACATTCACGAAATTACAATAACAAGTTGTGAATTTTTAATTTTTTTTTCTAGTTAAGGATCTAATAATAATATTGGGCTCTATAATTCAGGTTTTATTCATTTACATGTAGCTTTCGTTTCACTAACTGATTCTTGAATATTTCATTGACAATAAAATCATAGGTAGGTATGTCTAACAAAAATGTATTTTTATTAGTTGAAAGTTGAAACCGACGAAGGGATGATTGTCAGCCGTCAATCACGTATTCGTTTATAGTCTATAGTTTTATAATATTGTTGTTGGATTAACAGTATAAAATAATAATTAAGTTAATATTTTCTAATAATATAAGTAATTATAATATAATAATAATAATATAATTTATAATATTGTTGTTGGATTAACAGTATAAAATAATAATTAAGTTAATATTTTCTAATAATATAAGTAATTATTGAGTAGATACTTAATTGAATAAATTATCCCTACTTAGATAGTACCCATTGTAAAATCTTATTTTTGTAAATAATTATTGAACGGATAGCCTAGTGGGCTGTTGCACAAACCACAACATCATAACATGTTTTTTTTATTTTTCGTTGGTTTATATAGTCAGCATAATACTATAATACTATAATACTCAATTAAATTTTTTAAATTGTTGGTAATTAGAAGCTTAAACACTTTTAGTTAAAAAAAAAAATGTTACTTTTTTAAATTAAAATGTATTATAACGAACATTTTAGGTGTTACGAATGTGTGGATATCATAATACGTTTGTAAGTTCAAATCGTCAAATTTAAAATAATAAGTTAAACATGATTTAGTTAACATAATAAATCTCACTGCATATACTATTACTTATTATTTATTTCGAAAGTGAAAATTTAAAATTCCTAATTGTTTTCAACATCGCCAGGAAAAACAACATAACAATTAAGGATAAACGGGGATTTTTACACAAAATCGGTTTTCCAGAAAATTAATTTTGGTTCTTGGAGTAACTCTAAAACAAATGAACGTATATACATGAAATTTTCACTGGTCGTTTATAATTGCATTTTTATATACGGTGAGACTTCCAAAATATTTTGATTTGTTTTGAAACATTTTCTATTTCCAATTTTATTAGTCTTTTTCTATGAATATCAATAGAACTATATTTGTAGGGTAAAAAAGCTTGACAATTTAATTCAAGGCGCCTACTTTATTTTTACAATGACATTTGAAAAATATTAAAAATCCTTAGTCACAGTTTTTTTTTTATAAGTATTTAAAGTTCAAATCTTGACAAAATACGGACAAATCACGAAATTAAATTTATTATTTTGAGTTCTCAATTCTCAATTCATAAAAAATTTCATTTTAAATCTAAGATTTGAAAATGTAATACAAGATTCCTCATACGTTTGTCCACCTTTATCAAAAAAAAAAAAATGTCTACAAGCAAATCAAATTAAATTTTTTTGAGCGTTTGAAGTTCATATTTTTACAATATTGGATATTCTCTAGATTTCTCATATAGAGGTTTGTTATTTTATTGTTATTCAAAAACGAATAACTGTAGATACATGGAAATTTTACTGAATGTTTATATTTTCATTTTCTATACGCCATACAATTTTTAAAATTTTATTTGTTGGGTAAAAAAGGGTAAAAATTTAATGCAAGGCTCCTGATATATTGTTACAATAGCGGTTGAAAAATATTAAAAATACATAGGTTCAATTTTTTTTGTATGAATTTTGACAAAATTTAATAATTATTTTGTAATTAAAAATTTATAAAATGTTCAACTTTTATATCTAAGGATTGAAAATTTAAAACAAGGTTCCACGTAAATAGGTAAACATATAAATTACTTTATTCACAATAACACCATCAAATATACTTAGTAATATCGTAGACTGACTGACCGTTTTCGGTCAGAATCGTTTTTCTTATACAATGCTATTATATCATTGAATTCAAATTTAACACTATCCATTACAGTGACCCACTTGTAACCTGACAGCACAGCAGAGCTACATCCACTTACCCAAATTTTTTATAATATTATGTTAATAATATTAGTTTAATATACAACAATAATAATATTATTGTCTTTGATAATGAACCTCTATAAAATGCAATAAAACCTTAAGGCTTAGGTATAGGCAACAACTATTATAAAAATAAAATTATATTGCATAAAATAAAATATTAGGATTAAAATGTATTACATTTGTGAATCACAGACATTGCAGTTGTATAATATTTATTAAAGTCCCTGCAATTCTTATCAAGGTGCTTCAAGTGGCTGACAAGAATTATTAACGTACTACTACTAGTGGTTTGATTTAAAAAAAAATGTAAACATTTTTGATTGGTAATGAAGCTTTCCTTGTATCATATTATGTTCAATAGATTTAATAGTTTTTGATTTAAAAATTGATTACATTTTTACTGCCACCGAAGATTTAATGAAATTGAAAAAGTGCTCTAACCGTTGCAAAGTAATCTTGTTTATTTATTCAAAAATGTTTACATTTTTTTTTTTATAGATCCTTTAGAAGAATTTAAATTATTGTGTTCCGTAATATGTATGATCCGAGTAATTGGTGAGGAGTATACACGCATTAATGATGATTTACTACACACACACACACACACACACACACACACACACACACACACACACACACACACACACACACACACACACTCACACACACAAAGACCAGCAGTGACCAAAAAGACGAAATAGTTGCCTACATATAACTCCTTAAAAATCACAGGTGTGCCGGGGCAATATGTAATTTTAGATCGGCATGAAACTTTGATACAAGGTTTTAATACTATTTAGGTACTAAAAATGATTCAGTGGCATAAGTGCTGGGAGACACGGGGAAACATGGTCATCATATTTTTGCGGAGGGGCAGAGGTATAATTTTGCCCACCCAGATATATCAATCTTTTTATTTATGAACTTTTATGTAGGTACTGAATATTATTTATTAATATGGTTACCAGCTATAAACCATACAATTAGTCTTAAGACAAAATATTAGGTATAAATAGAAAAAAAATGTATTAAATATATTATATCAATTTTAAACTAGTGGGGGGCTTAGGGGGTTTAGTTTTTTGATGTTGGTTAATAAATTATTTTCCCCCCTAGTTATATATCGAGTTCCGCCACTGCGTTTAAAATGTGGATAATTACATAGACAAAATAATATATTACTAAATTTAATATTAATTACACTGATGTTTGCTAAATAACACACTCCGCTGCATCATTAATGTAACAAAAGTACTTAACCATCGATATATTAAACATACAAAATAAATTGTATGTTTCTATAATACTTAACGTAACCTGAAAAATTTGAACATTCTATGAAGTTTTAATTGTATATGTTTATTAAATAGGCACCTATTTAGGTAAATACATACAAATAATTTGTAGTGTACCTATGGAGCAAGTAAATGTGATAGAAAAGCTCACTCTTCAAGTGCGCTAAATTTTCAGTTTCCATAAACTTACTTTAATACAAAGCAATAAACTATAATTCCAAATAAAAGAATTTAGAAACCTATATTATATAAGGTTTGAATCTATATATTATTAAAAACTTATACAATAAGTAATTACTTAAAATTAACAATCGTAAGCGTAACTATACAAAATAACTACGAACAATAATGAATAAATTAATATCTTATTATCAACAATCGTAACTATGTACTGGTAAGTGGTAACTAAGGGGACGGATGGACACAACGGAGATATAAAGTGTTTGTTCTAAAGATATGTTTATAAATTTAAAGGCTAACAGATAACTATTACATTCACGCGTTTTCTATCTATGATGAATAATAAATATGCCCCGGTTTTTTAAATTTTTTATTAGTTAGACTACTTTTTTAAGAAAGATTTTTTTGTAAATGCCTAGTTTAATCAACTTGCAGTTGAAACTTTTGTTCCATTACAATAAATTATAACATATAGGTTAGTTATATATAAATATGGTGGCTTAACTTAATATAATATTGACATATAAGAAGAACACAGCAATAGTTTTGAATATATAATATATAATTTATTAATATTAAGTACAGTAATTATTTGGTATTTTATAAGACTACAAGGAACAGGTGAAATAAATTTATAGGTCTGGTGTGTTTTTCTACTGAAAATTTTTGTAAAATAAAATACAATTTAATGGCGGACACAGGCCACCTAAAGAACACATCATTGAGATTAGAACCACCCACCTGTTTTGATTAGGCCTTTTAGCCAAAGTTTTATGAACACGAAATAAGAGTTGCTATACTATCGAGAGTCGTCCATTGACAATTTTATACAATTATTTATGATTTTCATAATAAATATTATAAATAAAATACATTTTATACACTTTACAATATTCGACAATTTGACATAAATATATAAAATAAAATTACAAGTCAATAATATTCATAAATATGATAACATCTATCTATAATTGTAAAATTGGATTGAACACTTTACTTTTATAAAACCATTTACAAACTATTCATTTGTTTAACCTTTTTCTTCGACAATATATAATTATATTATCTATCACAAATTAACCGTTGAACAATTCGTATTCTGTTTGTATGTCGGTCTTCTATCTCTCAGCCGAATAGTCACAGGATAACCATTAGCACTTCTCATTAATAAATCTAGTTTTAATTTAATATCACTTAATTTTACGTCTGTGTGTACGCTGTAGTTTCGCAAAAACGTAGATACAAGAACTTTCATTGACAACATGGCATATTTGGACCCTGTAATTTAATCAATTTAAGTACAAGTATATTAGATACTGGAATTATTTACTAGTGATCCATTTAACGTAAGTCACGCATTGTTTCAAAAACTATTAAAGATTTTGAAGATATTTTTTAAATAATTTTGAGACGTTAATAAACAACATTTTTCTAAAAAATATTATTTTTTAATTTATTTACGATCTTTAATGACAACATGCAATTTTAAATCCTTATACCCAAAGCAGAATATTTATGTGGAGTACTTTGACGTTTTTACATCAAAATGAATTATGGATGAGTAAATACCTAGTTTAACAGTTATAATTATTTAAAATTTTGATGAGCGGTGTTACCCCGCAAAATGTTGGCCTACTACTCAGATAGTCTACAATTTAAATACATCTTATAACTTAAAAAAGTTTTATTGTCCAAAAAATGAATTTGAAACATCGAAATACTCCAAATAATATTCTGCTTAGGACAATGAAATTAAAAATGATGTTATCATTTAAAAAATAAAGTAAAACAATTAAATTATATTTCGATAAAAAATGCTAAAAAATATTTAATAAAAAATTAGTGTTTTCTGATATAAAGAGTTTCTAACATTTAATGAATCATCCCGTACTATGTTTTCTCATTATATTTAAGTTATTATTTATAATTAATAATAAGTTGCATTACCTATACAACCCCTTGGACCACCGCTGAAAGCTATAAAACTAAATTTATGGCGTTTAGAAACATTTTCAGCGTCGAAGTTATCTGGGTTGAACGACCATGGATTCGGATACAACTCAGGAATATGGTGCGTACATATCGGAGATATAATACATGTCGTTCCTTTTGGCAGTGTATGATCACCGGAAACTGAATTAAAATTGATTACAAAATATAATTTATTTGAATGTTATAATATTTACTCACAAATTTTGACATCGTCTTGGAGTTGTCTGAGTAACAACGGTCCTATAGGGTATAATCGAAGAGTTTCCCGCAAACATTGTTCGAGGTAAACTAGTTTGGTAGTGTCTTCAATAGTAATTGTTTGGTCACCATCACCTAATACTTCATAAATCTCATCGTACACCTTATCCTAAAATATTAAAGAGTAAAAATTAGTACATTAGTTTATTTTTAACTTGGGTACAATCAAGTACAGTCCTACAAAAATTCGGCGTAACACGTTTGGGCACATTATTAAGAACATGACAGTTTAAAAATAAACAGAATTGTAAGATAAATAAAAATAAAATCAAGAAAATAAAACTGCTGTAGAAAATTTCGACAGTGTTTGAAAACGTTGGGAAAATTATCAAATTGAAAAAAAATACATTGAATTATATCAAAAAAATAATAGGACAACGTTTTGCGGCGAAAAAATATAAATTAACCACATATAAGTAACTTGAAAACATCATATTATTCTATAATCTCAACTCACGAGTAAACAATTAATAATATTAGGCAGGTACCATACTAAAAAGTATATTAATAAAAGTAGGAACACATATTTGCTGGAATACTATTTAAAAAAGCTATGGGTGGCGTCTTCTGGATAACGCTATAATAGGCTCAGAATTATATTATGCTCCCAAACGTGCTAAAATGTAGGTAAATTTACGCCCTAAAGTGTAGTGTTTTGGGAAAATGCACCTTAACCACGGTTCAAATTAAACATATTACATTTCTAGTCAAAGTTTTATTCCTGATACAATAAATTACACATTGTTAATATTCCTTGATGACTCGACCGAAAAATATCATATTATCAATTGCCACTGTTTAACTGAATCCCTAATAAATAATAAATCATGCTGTGTCAATATTGTTGAGATTATGGCACTTACTTGAATTTCCGGATGAATAGCCAACAGCAATAGGCAAAAACAGAGTGTGATAGCACTGGTTTCACTACCCTGTAATTAATTTGTTGAAATTACTTAAACATTGTTGGAAATATTTACTGTTTTTACTTTTACTTACACCAATCATCATAGTCACGACTTCGTCCCTAAGTTCTTCGTCAGAAAAGTTGGCACCAGCTTCATTCAGATCCAATAACGTGTCCAAAAACACTTTTAAACGTTTCTCTAAAACATAACAAAAATAAACTATAAAAGTGCACATAATATTACAGTATAATATTTTATCGTAGTTCCAAATCACTCACTGTCGTCATCGTTGACATCTATGGTGTTAGATTTATTTTCAATTTTCCTTTGTGCATATGTTTCTTTCATTTCCTTGATCACCTAAAATCGTAAAAATAAAATTACTAAAAACTATTAATATTAATCACGGGTGATTGAGAGCTATCCCTAGGGTTCGTTTATACATTATAATAAATCATTACATTTTAATGTTTATAATAATATAAACACGCCCATTTTTAAATGTAAAACACATACCTATTTAGAACTTGATTTTAAAAAAAATTAAATTATTTCAATTATTTCCTTATTAAAAATATTAAGGGGATTCGATTCAGCGTATTTATTTCATGATTTAGACCTAAAAGCCTGAAAAAAATACGCCTACTTAGAATTATCAGATTTCAATTCTGTAAAAAGATTCGAGTTCATTGACAATTTTCCTAGGTTATTGTGGGAATCAATTTTCGATATTTTTTTTAGAATTCACGTTAAATCATACTTCAATTTCTCAATTTTTTGAAAATTGTTTGTGTCTTTCTTTAAAAAGTTAAACAGTTATTCAAAAATCGACTCCCACAATAACCTAGAAAAAAGAACGATGAATTCAAATATGTTTACAGAACTAAAATCCGATCATTCTAAGTTATCGTATTTTTGTCAGGCTTTTAGGTCTCAATTGATTGAAATTAGTTTCTCGTTGGAACAAATATTTTATTATGTGACATGTGCATGCGGGTGCGAACCACTGATTCCTAACGTATCTACGCACACTAATGATCATTTACTTCGCACACAAACACACTGCGAAACGATTATAATACATCGAATTGCCTATACACGACCCCTTATTAAATCACCGGATCGAATCCCCTTAATAATGTAAATTAATTTCTAATTAAATCAACGTTTTAATTTTATTTTCATGTTTATATAAACATACATATTTATAAAAAAAAAACTTAAAATGTTCATTTTTTTTTTTTTTGGCCTGTATGCAAAGTCTATTATTTCTTGTAACATAATTTTAAACAACTAGAGCTAACATTTATTTCCTTCAGGTAAACACAATGTTGCCCCGGGAGAGTTTACCGTAGAACCGGGACGGTTAACCTGCAAAGGGTGCATAACTTTTATTTAATTATCTAAATTAAATTACCTGATTTGGAAGTTTGTGCAACGTCTTATAGACGTTGTGCAGTCCCGTAAGTTTTCCGTAAATTGAAAATATTATATCAGGATGCAACCATGGTTTATAAATTCTCATAGAATCTAATTCCGATGCTCTAAAAACAAAAACATAATTTTATGAATATCTTCTTTGTATTTCAAACATGCATAATAATTGTACTACTTTGTTAATGCTTCAGCGAATTCAGACTCGTTATTTAATTGAGTGTCAAGATTGTAGCCCATCGCAGTTTCTGTAAGTAATATGTAATATTATAAGAATATAATGGTACCTAAATATTATGTTAACATCTATATAGATAACATATTATTGTTGAATGTCAAAATACTTACGACAAATTATATCAAGAGTGGTATCCGCAATATAGTCCCAAAGATCAAATGGTTGTGTTTTACCTAATTCCTTCTTTAGATTCCTTGTGAGAATTCTGTTTTTCTCATTAAAAACAGGGAAAAACTGATCAAGAAGATTGGCGTTAAACACTGGAGTAATGAGACGACGATGTCTTCGCCATTTATGAACTAAAAGTATTTTTAAAATTGTTATATTGAATAAGATGCATTGTTATAAATGATAATGGTCTATAGATGGTAGTTAATTCGGTACGTATCTATTAGAATATTTTATCAAACATAAATATGGTTTTAATCAAAAGTAAAATTATGCATTATGAATTACCTACTTAAGGTTCTGGTGTATAATATATAGTGATGTAAATTTGTATAATACGGTAGGTATAATACAAAAAAACAATATACTATACTTAAATACAACAGTATTATACAAAGTTTAATACACGTATAATACAAAACAGAAAAAAATACCGTATTTTAACATCACTAATAAATAATAATATATAAAAGTACAGATAGACTTGTATAAAAATAAAATAATTTTCATGCAATTATATAATAAATTAAAGACCAATTATTATAATAATTATTTTTTTGCATTATTATTGACTTTCGTTTGAATTAACTTTTTTTATCAAAGTAAATATTAACAAAAAATTAGTAATCAACTAATCGATTGATTGACATCTATTTTACATAATATTATATAGCTATATAAGATATAAACACGACAGCAATCAAATTAATTCATTAAATTAAAGTTAACATAAATTAATTAATAAATTTTCAACTCATTAACAATTGTATAATAATTAGGTCTGGGCAATTAAACGATTTATAAATTGATAAATAAATAATTAATAAGAGTCATCAATATACATTAAAGATCTCACAATACAAAAATCTAAAGAATTACATTATTCACCTAATTAAAAAATATCTACACTACGTGTCTACTTCTATTCATATACCATGGGCATTATTTTCACTGTAGTAGGTCAACGACTAGACAATATTATGCATATTAATTGGTTACCAATATGTTACGATAAAAAGGACCCATTTCCCTAAATATTTTAGCACTTTTTCGTAATAATACAACGTTCTTCGTTAAATAATAGTAAATATACTATAATTAATGATAATGTATGCACACTTATACAACAATTATTAACTGTATTTTTTATTGATGATGTAATAGTTGTCATTTCACACTTATTAAAAATTCGCAATAGCAAGTTTATTTAATTATAACTTATTTTTCAAGATCAATTTATCAATAAAATATCAATTATCGAAAACATAAACAAAATTGACATGCAAATTATCAAGGATTACTTTTTTTCACACTGACCTGGGGCTGAAAACAAGCCTTCACCTACGGTATTCTTGAAAAATTTGTAAAACTGGTCTTTCTCCAGGGCCTTGGAACTGTTTAATACTATCTGAAACAAACGGGTTTTATATACTATAGCTATTTGATTTCCGTCAAGTTTTATGACACATTTATGGAAATATTGTTTATCGAGTCACTTATAGAATAAATAGCACATACATTTTTAATTTCCTGACTCCCACACCCTCGACTAATTTACATTTTCTTCAAACCAGTTCGTCTCTTTAATCCGTCTCAATATAAAACATAAGTAGTAGGTAATTTTATACTCTTAAAATAATTACTTGTACGTCTTCTGGTTTGCTAATGGTTACGCCCAGAGATGTACCCATCCACACTTTGAACGGTTCGGAGCCATAGATGTCGAACAGTTTAATTATTCTCTCTATGACCTCTAAAAAAAAAAAAAAAATAAGTAATTTTTCGTTCTGGAATTGTTATCGTTTGACACTTACGTTGGGGTGTACCAACAAACTCGAGCCCTGCCCCAATAATTGGGTATGCCGGTGGTCCCGTCATTTTGGATGCCAATCTTTCGAAGTGTCTGCGGTTCCATTTGTAATGACACCATAGCACCACAATAAAAGAAATTACTCCGTAAGCAGTCAACTCAGTACTGGTCATTCGGAGCCCACCTGCTGAATGTTTAGAAGAAGACACGGGGAAATCTTGAGACACCTCCATCCTATATAAACGATAAATTCATGATCAAAATTTTTTAGAAGTAGTACCCTACCTATATTCTGAAAAAAATTTTAAATTTTATTTAAAAGTTTTGCATACACTAAGGTAATTTTCATTTAGTGTAATATTTTAAGTTTCTACTAACATTTTTTTTTTCTTTTTGAATTACAATAAATTACTAAAAATTATTTAGAAAGGATTATCATTATTTTAAGGGTGAATATTCGTCAAAATTTGAACTTCGCGCTCATTGTTTTTAAATTTTAGTACAACTTAAGAGGAACCTCGTGTTAATTTTTCAAGCTTTTTGACAGAGCGAAAAAACTTGAATTAACAATTATGGGGAAAAAGTCAATAATATCAAATGTTCATAAATAGCTCAAAAATAACAATTATATTTTGTAAATATACCATGTCCAGAAAACTACTCGCCCAATAAAATATTGTGTTTTTAAAAATTTTATAAAATTAACTGGGTTATTAAATAGTTACAATGAATATTTTATTTTTAAACCATTTTAACACATTTTATACATAAATCAATTTTAAATTTAAAAATTATTAATTAATTTTTGCATAGATGAAAACATGCAATGTTTTGAGTTGGTACATATTCATAATAAACTATGTTTCAATTTCAATTTATTTCAATTATACCTGTATATTATAAAGCGTATAACTTTTATAGTAAGTTTTTTTAATAGCACTTTACTTAAATTTTTAGTTTTGTGTTACACACTTTAAATTTAAATACTCTTAAAGTAACACCAGTATATTTTTTTCTCTGTTATACACAAATGCCATTATATGTATAGGTAGTTAACACTTTAAACCTCTTACCGTAATTCCCTCAATATTATTAAAGGGTGTTGAATTTAATATAATATTATAACGTCATAGGTATATAAATAATGACTACTATTTTCGGTGATTCATTTAATATTTTTATTTAAAAAAAATGAACACTTAAAATTTTCTTAAATATAAAAATGTCTAATAAAAGATTAACAAATGACAAAATAAATAAAATATTATTCTTTATTATTGTTTTAGTTGGTAATGATTTTTACTTTATTTCAATTATGTAATCACAATGAAAGAAATTTGAAGAGAGATTTTTACTATATTCTATACGTGTTTAAACTATAAAACAAATAAAAATATTTCACTGATGTGCCCTCTCAAGTTATTTAAACAATATATTTTATCATATAAGTTATCATAACATTTCAAAAATATTTACTTTTCGTTATTTTTTTTTAAGATTGTGTAAAATTAAATCAAGTTTACCTTTTGCTCGTAAATAATATTATCTATCACTGGCTTTAAATTTTAAAACATCCAACATTATCCATCATAATATTATATAATATAGACATCATTGGCGGAAATGCGGGATACTATAATATATTTTTATATTATTTTAAATTTTTTATTATTATTTTTAAATTTTTCAGGAAAAAAAACAGTTTTTTCGTTAATATTATTTTTTCCAGAAATTGTAGATGAAACCAAATTTTCCCAATTTATCCGAAAAAAAGAGGGAAACACCCAGGGTTTTTTCGGAAAACCATTTTTTTTTTTCGGAAATTTTGATCCTTAGACTGATAACAACAGTGCTTTTAGTAATAGAAATTAGATATCAAATAGTCAAGTAATGTGTTACATTATCGTTTCCATAATCGCTTTAATGATCATAATTCATAAATAATATGATCTACATTAATATTGGTTTCCGGTGCTTTTTACTTGGCTCCCTTCGCCAGCTCTGGCCACGGTCCTGGAATCCGCGACGCACAGTTTAAAAAATATCTCTGATTTATAACGATACCCTCCGACTCCTTATTTTCACCTTTATTATTTTGTATTATACCGTTTCTACTTAAAGACCGCTTTGTAAAATATGATTATTTATAAAATTATTCCAATAATGATAATAATATAAATTTATATCAATGTTGGAGTTAATGAATTTTTACTCATACAGGTGTGCGATTCTGTTGGTGGTATATTATTTTATAAAACTTATAAAATTAAATACGCCATTATTATTCAATACACAACTTCAAAATTGTTAAATGTATTAACTCGATAACTAGACGCCGAAAAAGACAAAAATAATTCGCTTTGTAGTAATTATTATTACTCATATTAATGCGATAATTATAAAGATTAAAAATATTTATTTGATTCGATGTATTGATATTCTTCAAAATTATTTTCCACTTAAATATGTATATATGGACTTTATGGACGTAATCATATATTGTATTTAGGTATGTTATACATTAGTAAAACAAACCCTGTCCACCTGACGTAATTATGTTATGATATGGTCACTATATGGTCACTATATGGTCACTATATGGTCACTATTATAGCTGTCATAATAATTGCTATTCCATTACGATTTATGGTTATACGCACAGATATTATTACACGTCTGGAAAAAGGAGACCACCGAATCCAACCACCTTGAACCGACGATACTCCAATAGAATTATATGTGTGTAGTAAAATTGTAGACTATTTAAAAATTGAATGACCTTGATCATGTACTGGAAAAACTAGAACTCGTATTTATTAGCTATACTTCTAGTTTACGGAATGTGATTCGAATTATCCGATGTACGTGTGCTCACGAATTTCCTTGGATGGATACGAGTAGTACATTAAAAATTAATAGTCATTAGATCTTTATATACCTTTGTGTGTAGGTAGTATGAATTGTCAAGTTCTATAAAGCACATGTTCGAAAAAGTTGTTTTTTACACTACTATACCAGTGCACAAGGTAGACAGGCTGTTGGGAATAATCGATTACTTACGGAGTTGACGGTACGCCGACAAGATCGTTCTCTTCAAGGTAAAAGGAGAACAACAATTTTTAGGGACTAATAAGTGACACGACGCATAAGGAAATGACAGACAGCCGTCTCCGATGTATCTCTGGGACTTAAGATTACATTAATATTTATTCACCGATGTAATTATTACAATTATTATTTGAATCAAACTGAAATTATAATTAGAACCTAATACTTTCTAGAAAGCCATAAATACGTCATACTGTTATTTAATATATTTTTTACTATCCTGAAGTGTCTGATTAATTAATTTTGTCTGAAATCGGAAGAATTAAAACATTATGAAAGATATTATACTAGGACTTACGATTACATTAGTTTATTCACCGATGTAATTATTATAATTACTATTTGAATCAAAATGGTGTTAGCATTAAACCATAATATTTTCTGTAAGCCAAACGTTATTGTTTTTACTTTCGTGAAGTTTATTCAACGTGTCTAGTTAATTAATTTTATCTGGAATCAGTAGAAGTAAAATATCTTGATAGGTGTATAACTGTGTACCTACATAGTTACCATTATTATTTATTTGAATAGGTACCTATTAGAAAATATTCATGCACAAAATTAGAGTAAAACCACTAATTGTTTTTTTTCTAATAGAAAAGTTAAAAAATACTACATCTTTGATCACTGTAGTAATACCTATAACTATAAGTCATATTTTTTTTATAATAAATCAAAAGTGTTTTACGACTATTCAATTTGTAAGTAGCAAGTATTTCATCATACGTCTGTTAAATTTGTATTCATCACATAGTTGTTCAATAAAATGAAATCGTGTCAGTCAATACGAGACCAGTTTTCATGTCACGTAAAATTACTTCATCAAAGTCAAAGTGAATTTTTTTTACGATTTAGTTGGTACATAATTGAAATTGAATAACTGTTATAAACAAATAATTTATTGATATTGTTTTACACTTGAAGTGATTCTGCTATTATAAATTCATAAACTTTGTAGTCATTGTTATCCCTCTTTTTCTTCTTATTATAGTTATTTAAAATTACATAACCATATACGTTAAAAATGTTTGAAATTGCTACAGTTTAATAATGCAAATATATAACCTTTGATTTGATTTTATGAAATGATATTATATTATATCCTAAATAAATATACCTATCGAAAAATGTACTTCTTTAATTCTTGAAACAATGACAACACATTAATCCTTATTTCATAAAAACAATTTTTAATTTTCATTACAGATTTAATTAATGTTTTTTTATTCTATGTATTGTAATTAAAGTCACAATAATACAAAGATATTGTAACCTAATGGTTTAATCTTAGGTTTTAAAATTTTTAAAGTCTCACTATGTATTTTTAATATATTAATTTAAGAGTGATTTTCAATAAATAATACGTTCCCTGGTTAGAAATTAAAATATCTAATCTGCAAAACAATTTTTGATAAGGTTATTGATATAGTGAAATAAATATATTTTTAAAATATACTGCTCTAAGAATCTTTTAACATTATTTTTCTCAGTATAAAATATAAATATTGAAAAAATTTAATTTAACTAAAGAAGGTAATTACTAAAATTAATTAATTATCATAAAAATTATCATTAATTGAACACATTTATTTTTAAGAAATTATGCTACAAAAAAACTTAATTACTACTTTGAACTATGATATAAAAATGTATTTTGAACTATTTATAGATCGAGATACGAAATTCTTAGTTAACTAAATAATAAATAATAATAATGTAGTACTTACTTTGCAACGTCCTATGTAGGAGATCGTCTCGTCAATGTTCCAACCACGACTAAAGTAGAAAATGTCCAAATAGATGTCCCCTACAACCTTAACGACAAGGCCGGTAGCAGGTAGGTCGTTCAGTGAAACCTGTTCATATACAGTATAATATGATAAATGTATCACTTATAGGTACATGGGTTATAAAATATCCCCCCTGTTTATGAAAGACATTTTAGGGGGCCTTTTAATAACTCATTCGGGTTTTATTATACCAGCCAGCGAATTAAATTTTAATTTGACATGACATAATGACTGGTTTACGGAAGAGCCATAAGATGACTAGGTGGTCAATAGTCAATATATGAACGATATTATATGAGGTGGCAAAAAATAAAAATTATTATTAGATACATTAT